CATAGAGGCTTGGATCAGACCACAGTTCAGACAGCTGCTGTCAGAATGAAGATATATAACATTAATAAAAAAAAACAAAATAATAACTTTTCTTTCTTTTCTAAATCACATTACAACTAAGTTTCCTCTATAGATCATAATACACATTATCAAAGAGCTAGCCTTAAAAATACAGAATAATAACTTATTTATAATATACTATATAAACATTTATTTATAATCATAATCTCATAATACATTCATATAAAACCTTGCATTTATGATATTAATATTGAATTGCAAAATATATAACTTTGCATATATTTAATCCACATTGAGGTCAGTTTAAACAGTTCCTAATCTGAATGAATATGTGTAATGTGAAAAAGAGACAGCAGACCCTATAATAAAGACAAGCTGAAGGCTGCTATTGAAGCAGACAGTAGCTTCAAATACACCTCAGGGGAAACTGGCCAGTGGATTATAAACCTGAATAAGCCAACAAGAAGCAGAATGCTCAAGGCACCATGGAGGGCAAACGTTTTCCTCTGTAGGAGTGGGTTGTGATATCTGCTAAATTCGAATTCATGGGATGTGTCCTCAGAAGGCCAGATTCGTAGGACGATTACTTCATAGAGCGGCGCAGAGGTCTGGTCAGATTCCAAGACTCCTCGTTCTTGCGGCCGACAAATATGTCCTTCTTTTTGCCCGATTTGAAGGACAGCTCCGGTGTGTCCTAGATAGCCTTGGATAGGATATCCCATGATTCATTGCGAGTCCAAGCAAGTCGGCTGCTCTGTGATCAGAGGAAAAAGGTACTTGGCGCCGAACTATGCGAATATTTCTGTCTGAAATTAATGAAAATAGTTGTTTTAATGGTTATTTAGTCAGATATGTGGCAGTAATGTTTGATTTAACTAAAGGTTTTTATCTGTTACTGCGTAAATAGGTTTGGCTGTAATTTAAGGACAGATTCCAATATATCTGCAGTGTGGGGACTATAAATTTGATAGGATTTAAATTTTTTATTGCTATTTCGTACAATTAGCTTAACTAAGCATTTTTTTGTTGAATATAAGAGATTTTGTACAGGTTAGTATTATAACGCAATAAGCATAGAGGTTTTATACATACATTGTTTACATTTACTTATACCTTTCTACCTCTTTTATATAATTACATTTGCTTTTATTTGTTAATGCCCCCAGTGGTTGACACCTTTATTCCACTTTGTATTTTTATGAGTGTAGTCTTAGTTCAATTTACAATTAAAAAAGTAAAAAAAAAAAATATAAGAAACAGTTTTGAAAAGGTTGGTATTCAGTCTTTTCCTGCTTTGTGTGTCAAATCTCATGGTTGCTTGGTTGGACCATCCAACAGGCTGGACCTGTTTGAATTGACAACCAAAACTCTTCCAGTCTCCTTGTTTTCAAGGACTTCGAAGGATCCAGTCCAGATAGACGGGGTCCTTGGAGGATGCAGCCTTTGTCTTGGCCTCTTGGAGGGTTGCACAGCAAAGTCAGCTGCAGAGCAAAACTTTCATCTTCCTAACCCAATGGACATGGTTAATTTTAAGCATGGGCATCGGTTTCCAATGTCCAAAATTATTATTGTGGTTTTTGGCACAAGAGAAGGAGAGAAAAAGTTGCAGCTGGGGCTCAGATCTATGCATGCAAGCTGAAAGTAAAACTTTTTACCCATGCATTAGTAAGTTGTCCTGCCACAATGCACTCGGGACAAGAGAGCAATAAGTCCATGAAAACAACCAAACCCTAAAGCCAAACATACAAATATCTGCTTGTGTTTAGTCCAGAAGAAAAAGATTTTAAATTTCAGTTTAAATAGTTTCAGCTGAAATTGTACAGCTGCCACATTTTAGTTAAAATTTGAACCAGACTGAATTGAGGAGAAAGTCTTACCAGCCATTTAATGCATCCATATTTAGACTCTTAAAGTTTTTTACTAATCACATTTAAATTCTGTTCACCAGAGCGTCTTCCTTACAGCTACATCTTTCTTGCAGTATTATACTCTTCATTTATTCTATTTTGTTCGTCATATTGTTGAGGTGGATGTTAAGGAACATGACTTTTGGTTAATTATTCCCAAAACCAGTTCTGGGTGTCATAGTGTTGTAGAGCCCCTGTCACAGCTTGAAGATTTAGACCAGCATATGCCTGACGCACGGAAAATCCGGCATAAACGCTGGCAAACGTTGGATAGGTTATGGGTACGTTTTGTATAAGTCATGAGCACGCTGAAACATGCTGGTACACGTCGACATATGGCGAGTACGACGAGAAATTTTGAGCATGCTGAAGGGTTTGGAAACATGTATGAGCATGCTCAAAATTTCCCTCCGTATGCTGGCGTATGCTATACGTGGGCCATAAGTTATAGGTAAATTATCCGATCTTTGACATATGTTAAGTGTAAGTACTCGTAAGTCATGGCGTCTAGCCTAACCAAAACCTATGAGTTACTTGTGAATAACTGATGCGTAACTTATCAAGAACTTCTCTCCAACGCATATCAACGTATCTTACATGTTCCAGACGAGCGCTGAATGTGTTTCTAACTTCCAGCTACTGTTTAATGGTGTATTGGCAGCGTTTTGGTATAAAGGGGGTTCACAGGAGGAAACCATCAGTTCTCCTCCAGACTTCATCCCCATCATAGGGTGAGAGAGAAAGTGAGTGTGATGGATCCTCCCTGCATTCACGGCCACCACCGGCAAACTTCCTAGCAAACATGATGCTGAATCTGCTGCAAACCTTCTTTCTTTCTTTTTTTCTTTTTCTTTATTCTTTTTTTTGGGAAAAGTATTTGCATTTATGCATTTTAAATATGCGGGCGGTAAACAGCAGCTAGGTTAATACCACAATCAAAGAATTCTATTTATGCAGGACTGGCGCCTCCGGGCGCATCGCTGCCCCTCTCAGGGCACTGGCTTGTGCATCATTTCATGGGCATTACGCTGCCGTTGGTTATGCATAAGTTAGGCGTTGGACCTACGCTCTGGACTAGAGATGTCCTGATCCAGGTTTTGCACTTCCGATCCGATACCGATATTGTTTTTGGACTTCCGATCCGATACCGATACTGGCCGATACCAACCTATCCCAGCATGTATTTAAGTTTAAGTATTTAGCCTTAGTTGTAAGACTCATGTTGAAAAGGGTTTCAGTACTCTTGATAACATCCAGCCAGCTGAATTAGGTGAGATTGAATAAAAACACAATGATTGGTAACAACAAACTTACCTTTTTATTAAGAGATAAACACAAGCTGGACAAAATTATGGATAGCAATCTGAAATTGCACAGTGAACAGTAAAACCGTAAACAGTTAAAGGTGCAAGTATTACTGTAAGTTTTAATAAAAATGCAAAGCAGACAAGAGTGGAAAATAGTCTATTAACTTAGAATCAGGACTCTACTCTTGAAAAAAGACACTGTAAAAAAAAATCAGTGCAAATAATAGTGAACTATTACACAAAAATGCCTTATACTCCCCAATGTCCTCCACACCTAGTCTCCATCTACACATCGTGCAGGATAAAATAATCCCACATGGCTGACATTTTCCCCGCTATCTTCCAATTCAGCTGTTTTAATGGTTAGGCCGGGAGACAGACCCAAAAAGACCTGTGGGTGTGTTGAAGGTGTTCTGGAAAATGCGGACCGGATTCAGGGAACACTGGCGCAAAATAGTGGAATGCATCGTTTCAATCCGCGAAACTGGAAAAAACGGACCGGATTTTTTTTTTAAACTGGATCGGCAGTCTGGATCGGCATTTTTACATGCTTTGCCGATACGCATTCTTTTGCCAATATCGGCGTCCGATCCGATACATGGATCGGATCGGGACAAGCCTACTCTGGACTACTTATGAATACTCTATACAAACGCCCAAAATAAAAAAATACATAGAAAGTTCAGTGTATGCCAGCGTTTTTGGAGATTCTGGGACGTCGGGCATACGATGGCTAAATCAGCAAGGTGTAAGTAAGTAATGTTTATTTACATATCACCTTTCAGGGACATAGAGGTCACAAAGTGCTTCACAAAATTACAATACAAATAAAAACACATTTACAGTCACAAAGGATAAGGTCATAAAAAAAACTTTAATCTACAACAATTAAAATGCTTTCTAAAAAAAAATAGGTTTTCAGTTCGCTCTTAAAAACATCAACAGAACCAAGGAAGTGCAAAAGACAGCGGAAGATCGTTCCAGAGCGCCGGTGCGACCGCCTTCAAAGGAGCCATCTCCCCTGGTCATGTAACATCTTCGAGGGACCATGAGCTGGTTCTGGTTCTGAGTCGTCAGCCTCCGAGAGGGGGTATAAGGACACAACAAGTCTCTAATCTAGGAGGGAAGCTGACCCTGAAAAGCTCTGAAGGTCAGCATCAGGATTTTAAACTGGAACCGATAAGAGACTGGGAGCGAATGAAAAGCTTTTAGAATCGCTGTAAAATTGGCCTTTCTGTTTGTACGAGTCAGTAACGTCGCTGCAGAGTTCTGAACCTGCTGAAGACCAGACAACTCCTTTCTATTTAGAAAAAAAGGAGTTGGTGTGACAGTACCCTAGAAAAAGTTACCCTGTTTGCTGCCTCAGTCATATGCCCCATCTGTTACAGAATACAGCTGCCTGCCTTGTGGATCCGCTGTACTTATAAAATTAGGAAGTAACCAATTTATGTGGGATCTGTGTGCTGAGAGATGGTTAAAATGTCTTTAAAAGAAGTGAAACCGGTGTGTTTGAGCCAAACTTGATGCTTCCTCTGAAAGTTGACGTCTGAGTTGTTGTCTATTACTCAGCTTTTAAAATTGCTTAATCATTGGGGTGTCGCATGGGGTTTTAGAGAGTAAACACATTTCTGCAAAACCATCAAGGATGTGATTTTTTTTTCACATTTCAAAAGCATCAATTTCATTTACAGCCAATGAAATCTCATTTACCCAACAGGATTCCAGGTTATAGTCCCATTAGGTAACAATTGTTGTCCTGTTGCAGGTGGTGGCTGATATTCATCCCAGCCTGACCTGATGACGGCCGAGCAGAACGGAGACCTGCTGGAAGGTTGGAACCTTCCTACCAATCGCTCTGTTAACACTGATTAAAGGAATAGTACACCCAAAACATGATTAGCCTTCATTTTCTACTCACCCCCATGCTGAACAACACCCTGGAGTACTTTTTTGATATCTCAAATGCATCTGGAGATCTGGGAGGCTTCTTGCTGTCTGCTGACATTCAAATAATGGAGGTCTATGGCGCCCGAGGCAGAAAGGTCCATAAAAGTCCACAAAAAACGTGTCAATATTCCTCCATACTGCTCGTCCAATGTATTCCAAGTGTCCTGAGTGGGTAGTGTCCATAATTTACTCGAAACGAAGTCATTTAGAATGTTTTTAGAGCATAAACAGTAGTGTATAGGATTTCCTGAAAGCGCGTTCACGACGCTACGGAAGCCGGCAGACCAAACCAGATGAAAGTGCGCATTCAGCTCGGCAAAGAACTCATGCTCTTCCTCAACACTGAAGTCCTCAGACATTTTTCTTTCGTTGTTTCTTTCTTTGCACAGGTAAACAGCACATTTCTTCTTCTACGCTTGCATTATCGGCAGAGCAGACGCTGAATGCGCACTTTCATCTGGTTTGGTCTGCCGGCTTCCATAGAATCGTGAACGCGCATGGGGGCGCTTTCAGGAAATCCTATACACTACTGTTTATGCTCTAAAACATTCTAAATGACTTCGTTTCGAGTAAATTCTGGATGCTACCCACTCAGGACACTTGGAATACATTGGACGAGCAGTATGGAGGAATATTGAAACGTTTTTTGTGGACTTTTATGGACCTTTCTGCCTCGGGCGCCATAGACCTCCATTATTTGAATGTCAGCAGACAGCAAGAAGCCTCCCAGATCTCCAAATGCATTTGAGATATCAAAAAAGTACTCCAGATTGTTGTTCAGCATGGGGGTGAGTAGAAAATGAAGGCTAATCATGTTTGGGGTGTACTATTCCTTTAAGGCCTTCCTGAGGCTGAATTATGGTTTTTCACGTTAGACTAAAATGCATATGCAAGTTGCATAACTAGCAACTTTTAAAAGGCATCAAATATATTTACAGACTTGCTTTTATGAATTGCTGATTTAAAAAAATCATAGTTTTTCTTTCTCACGTTGGATTTAATTCCCTCAACTTTTTTTTTTTTTTTGTGACACGTAATACCAGAATGTCAGTGTGACAGTTAATGCCTCCTCCCCCCCTCATGCTGTATTGGGAAAAAAAAAACCACACACCCAGAGGCAGCAGCTTATAAAAACAGACATTCTTAGGCAACAGTGGACTTTAGGACCAGCAGTGAGTTGGAGATGACTGGTGGGAAGGAGGGACGCTCCAGACTCTGTGAGTTTTATTTATATAGGCAGACAATTATGAGCTCAAACAGTTATTAAAGGGCAAGGAAAGTGGATTTGTTTTTAAATTATGTCATAACAACTTAAAGCTGAGTCTTTAGGCTGATCAGAGCTTGAATTCTGACTATTTTTGTGGGGATTTTGCATGAAATTTGCTTCTTTGTGTTGAGGATCTTACTTTAAAGAAGTTACATTAATACAGTACTAAGGGTGTAAAAAGAACGACTTGAGAAAACACTGAAAGCGTTTGTCTCAGGTTTGTATTTCTATATCATCAGGATTCATGGGTAGGCTGTGGTGTACGATGTGTGGGAAAGAGGTCAGGTGCTTCTGACACTCTGAGGAGATGTTAGTGTAGCAGGAGAGATGATATTTGAAACCCCCACAACATTTGATGGGGGCAATACATCTGCTTTTCTTAATTAATCCATTAGTTATTTCCCATCAGGTTCATAATAAGACAAAAACAACATAAATTACTTTCAAGAACAGCCTTTTTGGTTTTAGTCATCTCTTCTGGGACATAACCTTGAATTAAAGTGCAATAAAATCTAAACTAAATGTTAGTAGTTTTACCCGGAGAGCTGGTTAATCACTTATTTACTGTACATCTAGCAATACAAAGTAAGAAACTGAGGTCGCTTTTATATGCAGAAGACCAAGGAGTCCATTGGTGGGGGAAAAAACATGATTTTCCAAAAATAAATTCTTCATAAAAAGAAAATTGGCTTATTAATCTAATGAAATAATTATCTAGCACCTAGTATGTATGACTTGGACTTTATATTTAGGCAACTTTTATTATCATTTTGTATACACAGAGGGCCGGATTTATCAAGATCCAATTTTGCGTGCAGTAATTTGCGCTCGCAAACTGGAATTTTGCGCGAGGGGCTGAACCATGGTTTGCGGGTGATTTAACAAGAGTGATTGCGTAACTGGTGGAAGGTGCAAAACTGTTGGAGACGCCCTATTTAAATGATGGTTTTGTGCGCGTTTTGTGGTTTGCGGCAAAGTAGTTTGTAGTCTGTACAAACTAGTGCATTAAGAAATTTAAATCTTACAGTGACCCCCAACAAAAAAATAAATAAGTAAATATATATATATATATATATATATATATATATATATATATATATATATATATATATAAATTGGCAACCTTTATTCCCTAAGGTGGTATGTGCTGCAGTAAAAAACAAAAAAAAACAAAAAAAAAAACAGGTGTTTTGTATTGGCCTGTGACTGTGGATGAGATCCCCGCAGCATTTGGCATGTTGCTCCACAGGCGCAGGGGGAGAACCCCGACCCCGTCGGACAGCACTTCTGAAAAAACGAGATTGGGAGATCCCAGCTCACGCTGCAACCGTACGCTGGAATGACCCAGATGCAAAAAAGTGCAATGTTGCAAGGAGTTTGTGATATCTGGTATTGCGTGGGTCCTCCTTGTGGCAGCCTCCAAATCCATTCGGAGTTCCCCCAACAGCTCCAAAATGGCAATGCTGGATAAACTATATGTTTTGATGATCGTTTCCTCGTTCATTGCAAAAATATTCACACGGAGTGAAAAAATGCGTTCTCTGCGTCTCCTTGCTTCATTTCCATGTCTCCTTCTTGCGACAATAACCGCTGCCATGTGTGCGCAATTACGCATACAGACCATTTGCACCTTCTTTTGAAACGTGTTAAATATAGAGTCAGATACCGTTAGCAAAATTGCGTTAAAGTTTGATAAATCACTTTGCGAGTGCTAAATTAATATATTTACATGTTCTCCTCCCACAAGACGCACTTTAGCGTGTAAACGCCCCATATTGCATATTCATTGCAGAAAAAGTACTAAATGGATCAGAGGCGCTATTTAGCACGTTTTAAAGACCAAATCCTTTTAGCACGCTGTTGATAGATCAGTTTGTACATTTTTTAGCGTGCGCAGTGAAATAGCTCACGTTTTAATACACGCAAACCTTTGATAGATCCGGCCCAGAGTGTATATAAAAGAAATTTCATATGTTTCGTGTGGCTGTTGAGATTATTTATCTGATTATTCTTCACCAACACTGCATCATGACGAAAACAAAGTTTAGAGATCTACTAACAAATATGTACCAGAAATACATGGGGAGCCATTTCCTTCAAATTGAATGAATTAATGAATACTGTTATTAAATATCAATAATTATACCATCAAATAGGTAAAATGAACCGATGAAATGCAAAATAGATGATAAAAACTCTTTATTTTAGTCTTTGCTTTTTGGATGATGTAACTCCAATTAAAGTATTCAAGTGTTTTCATGCCTCCACAAACATCGTGCTAACAGGTCTAAGACAGGGTTTCCGCAGGTTATTAACAATCATTAAAAGTAATTACCTTAATATTTTTTAAATTAAGGCCTTAATTTGCAATAAAGTTAATTAAGTGTGATTATTGTGGCCTTTAAGATGCTTCATTTAAAAAAAAAAAAACATTTCTGAAAACAATTTAGCCAGATATATTATTTGCGATACATTTGCGTGGAACAGCTTCCGGTTGATCGTAAAGCCGTATGTTCGGAAAAGAAGCTCGAGGCGGAGAAAAGGCTAGAGAGTAAGAAAATGCTAATTTCAACAAAAGTGGCTGAAAAAAGAGGAATTCAAGACATGGATGTAGCCTGTTGACAGTAAAGATGAAGGATTTTTCCATCCATCATCCATCCATCCATCCATCCATCCATCCATCCATCCATCCATCCATCCATCCATCCATCCATCCATCCATCCATCCATCCATCCATCCATCCATCCATCCATCCATCCATCCATCCATCCATCCATCCATCCATCCATCCATCCATCCATCCACAGATAGATATAGATATATAGAGAGCATTAAAAAGCATTAGAGTTACTTATTCCTATCTAAACCCTTTAAGAGCAATTCAGAAAATGGGAAAAATTACAAGAATAAAAAGAGAAAAATCTAAATCCTAATAGCGTTTTCTGTAAAACTCTTCTGTTTCAGATGATTTCCGGCAGGAAAATGGAGTCCAGTCGAGCAATTACAGTTCCATCTCTCCTCCGGCCTCACCAGAGGTCCAGGAGGAACCCTTCTCCACCTACTTTGAGGATAAGGTCCCCATTCCAGAAAGTCGCAATCAGGTACAACCCAAAAATTAAATCTAATCCTTTGAGTAAATAAAATTTAGTAGTATATTCACTAATCTAACATTTTGTGTTATTGATATTTTTTCATTTCTTTCTAATGTTGTCCGTCTCTAATGTATAAATTTTAAAACAAAAACAGAGGTTGGCTGAAAGGTTAGAGGATTTGTTGCAATTAAAACAGGTCATCTTATTAGTAATAAAAATGCTCTGTCTCTTCCCTTTAGATCTTCAGTTTCCGTAAACTCTGGGCCTTCACCGGACCAGGGTTTCTGATGAGCATTGCTTATTTAGATCCTGGAAACATCGAGTCAGATCTGCAGTCTGGTGCCAAAGCTGGTTTTAAGGTAATGACTAAAGCATTTTTATGTACACATCATAAAATATATATAAACTATCAGAATGTTTTTACAAATTTATCCTGACAAATGGGAAATATAATTATATCCTCTGATTTTTGGAGGCAGAAAAACCTCAGATCTGCAGAGCACCAACTAAAATCAGTTTTAGATAGAAGCTTGAATGAACCAGTCACTGCTTTGTTTTTATAATTTACAGCTTATTCAAAAGATCTATGAGAAAACAAGAAACATGAGTTATTACAATATATGTGGAAGAATATAACAGGGGAAACCCACAATTAAAAAACCATTCAGTCAGCTTACAAAAGTACCTCAAGCTTAGCAGAATAGCTATTTTGGACTTTGTATTTGACAACAAAAACAGGTATGGATTACCACTAAGTGAAGAATAATGTTTTCCCGCAATTTATGTGAGCGACACTTTTTACAAGAAAGTGTTTAAATTTAGTTTCAGATGCATTTTAGCCTTTTATCCCCTTTTGTTGGCGAACAGTATGTTTCCTTCTACTTAAATTTCCAGTAACATAATAGAATGGAGCCCTCTGTAACTCATCCGCTTCTAAAGGGATCGACTTTGGATGGCTGCATTCAAGCCTGTAACTCTCTGCTGGAAACTGTTCAGTTAAAGTTATTGTGGAGGGTTTTCGCTAATTTTTTAAAAGATCCACTCTCTCCACTTTAAAAAAAAAAGAAATGCGCGGACGAGAGCGTGCATGAGCCAATTTCTCCTCGTGCACGCTCTGTTTAAAAGTTGCTGTTCTCTTAGCTCATACAAGCTTACTGTCTCTGAACATCTGCCCTAACCCCTAAATCTCTCAATCACTATATAGAGCGAGGACTATATAGTGGACTTTATAAGGAACTCAGTTAACTTACCGTTATTTTAAGACCATCACTGCTTTTTGCTCACAAAACTCTCCCTCCACTGCGCAGTGCCTGCGCCATCTTTGTTATCAGGCTCCGCTGTCGGGTAGCAACTGCTTATCGCAACAGCGGTACACTGTGAAAGCAAATCCCATAATGCTTTGCGAGGAGAGCTCTTCACGCAAAAGCATTCAGGAATATATCTGCCTCCTCTGAGGCCTTTGTTTTCTTCTCATTCACTTCGTAGACACTTATGACCCTCGGCCATTTTCAAAGAACCGCGGTGTGAAAGGTGAGCTTCAATGACTGTCCGAAACAGTATCTCGCCACAGATATATACGCCTAAAAGGGCGCAGGTGTAGAAAAGGATAGCTAACGTGACGAGCACGTAGGACGGCCTTATGTAAACATATCGCCAGAATCATTCACAATTAGGAGGACCTTCCAAAAAAGGTTAAAAAAAAATAATTTCCAAGTTTGAAGGCTTTTCGCTTCCCATCCAGGAAACTTTTTCAATTCAAAATGTCAGGAATAACGTTGAGTTCGAGGTTTTATACAGTAGCCCATTAAAACCTTGTTTTTGTTTAGAAAACATGCAAATTGAAACGGATGAATGGGTCCACCCCTTTGGAATGGGGGTTGTCTTTGTTTGCCTGCAATGCCCCATACCTGTCTAAGTGTCTGAAAGGGGGGGTCGTTAAATGGAATTGTTTTGCTGGTTAATAGGCGAGGTCTTGTGCTCCCCAGTAAAGGGGTTTGGGTTGTGATGCATTGAGTCCCCCCTCTTCACCAGCAATTAGGAGGACCTCTTACTTAGATGATCCACCCGGAAACAAAGTTTGTCCTCCATACCTTTAAAGTTTGTTGGATTAATTATTGAATAAATAAAATTATTCAATATTACTTTTATTTAATTTGGTAGGTCTAGGAACTGAGTGAAATTTTCCATTACATATTATGTTGCCTCTCATTGTATTGGTTATATTGCCCGGAAATGACAGGACATCCATGTAGTGATGTAGTGACTTATGTTGATTTGATCTCTCAGCTCCTATGGGTCCTGCTTTTTGCAACCATCATTGGGTTGCTGCTGCAGAGGTTGGCTGCACGCCTCGGAGTCGTCACCGGGATGCACCTGGCTGAAGTCTGCAACCGCCAGTATCCCACTGTAAGTCCCTGGCTAATCCTCTCAACTCTTTCTGGTTGTTTTTAATCGTGTTCTTTGAATAAATGGTTGTTTCCTTCAGGTTCCACGGATAATCCTTTGGTTAATGATCGAACTGGCAATTATTGGTTCAGACATGCAGGAAGTCATCGGCTGTGCCATCGCCTTTAACCTTCTCTCAGTGGGCAGGTGAGGCACTTTATATTAAATCCACAACAGATAATACATTGGAAGATATGTGTTTGTTCATGGTTTTCCTTCTTTGTGTAACTACCAGGATCCCACTGTGGGCAGGGGTCCTCATCACCATCGCAGACACGTTTGTGTTCCTCTTTTTAGACAAATATGGTATGTAGTCAACTTAATCCAGATCTTTAACTTCACTGATCTGGTTTGTGCTTCCAGATGTTTTCACATGTTTTCATTTCTTAAGGTTTGAGGAAACTTGAAGCTTTCTTTGGATTTCTGATCACTGTAATGGCTATAAGCTTTGGTTATGAGGTAAGCTTCCTACACTCTTCCTGACCAGTTTATATGCAGCCATCATGGGCCAGAGCTCCATAATAAACCTCTTCCTTTTAAAGATGGAACTAAATCTTTCTTTTTCAGGATAACATATGATATACAACTCTGAAGGCTCTTTATTAGAATTAGTGATGTGCCGATGCCATTTTTGGCCTCAATACCCGATACCTGGCTGTGCAGTATTGGTCGATACCGATACAATCTGTTTGAAATTGATGTGTGTGTATATATGAAGAACTGCATACTACATGGATGTAAAATAATAGCCATCATGGCTTTCTCAAGCTGATGCCTACCTTAGTGAAGCAGGGAAAAGACTAATTCAAAGTGAATCCAGTAGAAATTTTCTTGCCTACCTGGAATGGGTGAAAATAATTGAATAAACGTTTGGCTGTCAAAATGGTATCAGTGACCTATTTGTTGGTACTCGCCGATACCGATACCACCATTTTCAGCACTGGACAGGGCCTGTGGTGACTGCACAGCAGGGGCAGACAAGGCGCCAGCCATTTCAGCACTGGACAGTACCAACCTAGGTTAACAACAACAATAAAAAAGATGTAGAAGCAACTAGTGTTGCTCTGATGCCCTTTTTTTGGCCCAGATACCTGGCTGTGCAGTATCGACCAATACCATCTGTTTAAAATTGATGTGTGTGTGTATATGAAGAACTGCATACTACTTGGATGTAAAATAATAGCCATCATGGCTTTGTCAAGCTGCGGCCTACCTTTGTGAAGCAGGAAAAAGACTAATACAAAGCACCAAGTAGTATGCCACGCTAACGCTAGTTTCATCGGCTGAAACCGCCATGTTCTTTAGACTGAACTGTCGCGCTTCACGTTGCGTCACACCTCAAAACCAACGCTGAAAACCTGAAGTTTTTCTGTAAATTCAGCAACTGTGTCAATGCCTAGTAAATTATTGATATCTCAGCTTCTGTAGCAGATAGAACTCAAAATATATTTTATCTTTGAAATTCTTCCAAAAAAAAAGTGAAAAGCAGTAATCAAAAAGAAAAAAAAAAAATTCAACCTTTTATTTTTTCCATATGTGATCATGTCTTCATTGAGAATGTGCAATATAAAACGTTTTTAAAATAAAGAACAAACATTACATAAATAACTATCTGATGATTACTTATTAACAGTATTATTATGCATAATAATGCATATGTCTGTGTTATAAATTGCAATACAACTTACCTCCAGATGGCCACAAATCTGTCCCGGGACATATTTTGGGGGAACTGCGTCCTAAAGAGAGGTTTACTCTGTCGCCAATAATCTCTTCGTACTGGCAACACAAGAAGTCCCATGCCCATACACAGCCCAATAAATGTCTTCATCTCTGTCACAGTCACGGGTGACCACTTTGCCATCTTTGGTCTTGTTGGAGTTTGGTTTGTTTGGTCACTGTACCTATTCGTCTCGGTAACAAGATGCATCCAAAGTTCTTCATTAAAAATATGCTCAAATGCCTGCAGCGGTGTGGCGTCTGCAGGCAAATCAACTTTCACTCCGGGTGTGCGGTTGAAAACACTCCGTGCATTGCGGTGGTAGTTCGATTGGTTCAGCGCGTTCAAAGTCATCATTTTCATCTATACCGTCATCAAAGCCGACACACTCCTCAAAATCACTGCCTTCCGACAACTCTTCTCTGTCAAACTCCTCCATGTTTGCTTGAAAAAAACTTCTTTCTTCTTGCTTGACTTATATGCTCTCCCGGCGTCAATGGTAGAATTACGCAACAGCGCCCCCGGCTTGAATGGTAGAAATGCGGTAATGCTTTCCCGGCCTAAATGGGTTAACGGAGAGTAGCCAGACTAATCTGCGAGTGAAACCTTGAAGGCTCGCGGGATCAGGATGGTCTCACGAGGCTACTGTTTTGTGGTCTTAAGGCTGATTTATACTCAGACACCAGGTCGTCTGCGTGTGTGTCGCTGTGACTGCAACTGTACTTCTGCCCCCGCCGCAGACACTTTGCTGCACCTCTCCAAAATTGTAGGTGACTGCAAAAAAAGTAATTGAGTTACTGAGTTACTCCACAATAAAAGTAACTAGTTACTGGTAAAAGTAACTATTGTTACTTCTGCGTGTCTCGCCCCCGTTACCCTCACCACCTGGCCCCCACCTTCTTGCCATGTGCTTCAAAAGCCAGCTGAATAGAGTGGACGGCAAAGACAAGTACCTGCAGAGAGTTTCGCATTTATTGCAACTCAACGTAAATTAAATCAGGGGGGAACGCTATCTGACGGAGTTTATAGGCCCGTCATATACCGTTCCCCCCATGTTAAGCAGGGGGAACGGTGTCTGACGGGCCTATAAACACTGGATAAACTCTTTAAACTATCACCTAATTAGCGCTATTTAGTATATTGTGCCTGTGCTGCTTATATCTTATGTTTTATGGTGGTGTAACATTTATTTCGCTCTCTTTTATTCCCACAGTACGTGCTGGTGAAACCGGACCAAGGAGAGGTTCTTAAAGGGATGTTTTTACCGTACTGTGCTAACTGTGGGCCTGTGCAACTGGAGCAGGCCGTAGGAATCGTTGGTGCAGTCATTATGCCCCACAACATCTACCTGCATTCAGCTCTGGTCAAAGTGAGCAAAACACCATAGAACTATACGTACAAAACAAGAACTCTGAGGGAAAGTCGATTCTGCATGTCCTGAGAGCATCTATCAGTTTATTTTTATAATTGCAAATAAAACACAGTGATAGTTTTGTTTTAATTTCTTTTGTTTTCTTCAGTCCAGAGAAGTGGATCGGAAAAACAAGAAGGACGTAAAAGAAGCCAACAAGTACTTCTTCATCGAATCATCTATCGCCCTCTTCGTGTCCTTCCTCATCAACGTCTTTGTCGTCGCAGTCTTTGCTCAGGCTTTTTACAATAAAAACAACATGGAGGTGGTGAGTACCATGTTAGGACGTGATCGTCTTTTTGCTGCAGAGTTAAATAGCTTCTTTCTTTTTAGGGTTAATTGAACACATATTGATGATTTAGTTGTTGCTGATTGTGTTTTAGAACGCTGTGTGCAATGCTACAGGCAGCCCCCACACCGATCTCTTCCCTCTCAACAATGGCACTCTGGAGGTGGACATCTACAAAGGGGTATGTCTGCTCTGCTTTACTCCAGCAATAAACTCTGATACAGTTTATGCTTCGGGAATAGAAATGTTTTAAACAATAAGATCAACTAATGCTTTATTTTTTTCATCGTCATTTAATAACTTTCATAAGCATTCCCAATTTATAAGAGGTGTTATTCCTGGTGCAGTTGACATCCTGATTTTGTATCAGCCCCTTCTAGTAGCAGCTTTTCAATTATCTTAGATTCATTATAGTTTTTTAAATAATCCATACCTATTTAAAATGCATTGAAACTATTAAAAAATGTTTGGTCAAATGATTGCTGAACCTAATTGTAAAGAAATATATTTTCTTAAAATCTTTAGATGCATCTTCATAAAGTAGAACATAATCAAAAAGTACATCTGTTTTAGTTATTCAACACAACATTGCCTCATTTGAGAGTTTCTTTTCATTTCTGATGATTATGATCCAAAATCAGTTGGTCAAAAATTTGGGATGTTTTATGAAACCAATAAAAACATAATGATAATTGTGGAGTTAGGAAGCTGAGGCAGAGGCAAATTTAGCAAGAACACAGATTTATTTTACGTCCGTAGACTGACAGAAAAGCTCCTACTTGGGCAAACCCAGTACACACATTTATACCTCACAAAATCCCAACACACTCTCTCTCCCATGGAACCACCCCACCCCCTGCATAAAGAACTTTATCATACTCAAACATTTGGAAGAAAAACAACTTCAGTTCATCTAGGACATTCCCTGTTAGATTAATATTTCTTTCACTGGCCAGATAAACATTTCACAAAAGCTGCCTCCCGTTCACGGCATGGAGGAGGATGAGGAAACTTTAAACACTGATCTTTTATCACTCCCAGCTTTCCTTTCACCCAAATTATTCGGAGGAAAAAACATGCTTTCATACTAATAAAATAAAAAGTTATTTACTACAAAATCATAGTGATGGTTACCAACCTCACTAAAGGCCATAATTAAGGAAGCTGGTTGTTGATTTCAGTCATATTAGTGGAAAATTCAGTGGAAGTAAAAAAAAATCTGGTAGACAATTGTGCACAAGTAAAGTGTCATTGAGACCAGTATGAATCAAAACTCATGTAAATAATTAGGGGGGTGTCACAAGGTATAGACTGTAACAGGAGTCTGTGATTTAAACTTAAAGGAATAGTACACCCAAAACATGATTAGCCTTCATTTTCTACTCACCCCCATGCTGAACAACACTCTGGAGTACTTTTTTGATATCTCAAATGCATCTGGAGATCTGGGAGGCTTCTTGCTGTCTGCTGACATTCAAATAATGGAGGTCTATGGCGCCCGAGGCAGAAAGGTCCATAAAAGTCCACAAAAAACGTGTCAATATTCCTCCATACTGCTCGTCCAAAGTATTCCAAGTGTCCTGAGTGGGTAGCGTCCAGAATTTACTCGAAACGAAGTCATTTAGAATGTTTTTAGAGCATAAACAGTAGTGTATAGGATTTCCTAAAAGCGCGATCACGAGTCTACGGAAACCGCGGCAGACCAAACCAGATGAAAGTGCGCATTCAGCTCGGCAAAGAACTCATGCTCTTCCTCATCACTGAAGTCCTCAGACATTTTTCTTTCGTTGTTTCTTTCTTTGCACAGGTAAACAGCACATTTCTTCTTCTACGCTTGCATTATCGGCAGAGCAGACGCTGAATGCGCACTTTCATCTGGTTTGGTCTGCCGGCTTCCGTAGCGTCGTGAACGCGCAGGCGTGCGCTAGAGACTGACACGGGAGTGGATTTTCACTCCTGTCCCGTCCCACTCCCACAGAAAAAAATGGTGTCCCGTCCCGATCCCGGGCCAGAGTAGAAATCTAAATCCTGTCCCGTCCCACTCCTGGTGAAATTACTCCCACTCCCATCCCGCTCCCATTCAGAATGACTCCCGCTCCTGCACCACTCCCATTCTTGTTGTTTTTGAGCGCGGGTGAAAAACTCAGAGCGGAAGTTACTATTGGTTTGCTCCCGCTCCTGTCTGCTCCCGTTAATGTTTAATCCTGTACCGTCCCAATCCCGTGATCGTTACTAATACTGACTCCCATCCCACGAGAATCCCACGGGAATCCCACGTGAATCCCGTGACCCGTGGGATTCCCGAAAAAATGTCAGTCTCTAGCGTGCACTTTCAGGAAATCCTATACACTACTGTTTATGCTCTAAAAACATTCTAAATGACTTTGTTTCGAGTAAATTCTGGATGCTACCCACTCAGGACACTTGGAATACATTGGACGAGCATTATGGAGGAATATTGACACGTTTTTTTGTGGACTTTTATGGACCTTTCTGTCTCGGACACCATAGACCTCCATTATTTGAATGTCAGCAGACAGCAAGAAGCCTCCCAGATCTCCAGATGCATTTGAGATATCAAAAAAGTACTCCAGAGTGTTGTTCAGCATGGGGGTGAGTAGAAAATGAAGGCTAATCATGTTTTGGGTGTACTATTCCTTTAATAATTGGGCTAAGGCTACTCCTTAGCCATTCTGCTTCACAAATTGTATCATAATATAATTCTAGTTTTCTGAGAAACTGAATTATGTTTTCTTTGGCTAAGCGAGCTTTGGTTAGCTGAATTCATTCCTTTGAGATTTTTCACTGCTAGTGATTAAGCTATTCATCCAAGGTTTGCTTTTTAAATTTTAAAATAAAAGCAATTTTCAATTATATCCCGACTTTTTTAGAGGCACCTGGATTCAGTAATAAACATTATGTATTTAGCAATAAAAACACTAATAACCAGATGAATAAAAAGCTAGTCACTGTCTTTATTTTCTCATCTCCACAGGGGGTGGTGTTGGGGTGTTTCTTTGGTCCTGCTGCTCTCTACATCTGGGCCATAGGGATCCTGGCAGCGGGACAGAGCTCCACCATGACAGGCACTTACTCTGGACAGTTTGTGATGGAGGTAAAGAAAAACCCTCTGCTCCGCATGTTGCATGTAGTATCTGCTGCTTTACAGTGTTCTCAAACCCCAAATGCTGTCTAAAGCTGCAAGTTTGTGTTATTTCCTCTTTTCTCAGGGTTTTCTGAACCTGAAGTGGTCTCGTTTTGCTCGGGTTCTGCTGACCCGCTCCATTGCTATCACGCCAACCCTCCTGGTCGCCATTTTCCAAGACGTTGAGCATCTGACAGGGATGAATGACTTCCTCAATGTGCTTCAGAGTATGCAGGTCAGGGGAAGCAGTCTGATTGTTGATTTTTAAAGTTTTTCTTTTGGTGTCCCAAGCTTTTCCATGCTGCGGCTCCCAAACATCATTACTTTTCCCTTTGCAAACTAACAGACAATAATGCTAAACATGCAAGGAAAATATAACTTTTAAAATAATTTTCTCACTTTTATTCCCATTCAGTTGTATATAAATATACTGACGCTGCGGCACTATTATACTCACTACTATATTCACAATAAATAAAAAAAACTTTCTGCAAGGTGTTCACAATATGAACAGAACAAAACCTTCATTCAGGTATGTGAGCAGCTGTAGGGAAGCACCCTATGAATGGCATTACCCCCAGATTCCACATCTTCCATCAGCACCCCGCTCACGTACGTCGTGCATAGTAATGACAGATTAGATAAATAATTCTTATATTTCCCAAAAATTAAGACTGTTTAATTGAATGATCGGAGGCAAACTATTGGTTCTTCAACATACCAGGAAGAACATTTCTCATCTCCATCAAAATATTCATTTTATACAGAGAGGCTTAAAAGTTTAATCAAATACAGTCAAAACTTTCATCTGACAATTTAAATAAAAACTTCTCATCTCAGGCCTGGATGAAGAGATGCTGAGTTTGGAAGCAGTGAACAAACATAAAGTTATACAAACCATGGATGGTCCTAGTTATCCCTGTTCCAAAAATCCACAACAAAAAGAAATTATTTGGGTAGAAACTGAACATATGCTTGATTCTGATGGGGATTATTTTATTATGTCATATTAAATTAAGCGTTCATTTTCGCATGTTTTGCTCCTATGAATTTAATAATAATATTGTGCATGCTCTCCTCGAGCTCCGAGGAAGTCAGAGCAGAGCAAGATGGAGGAACAGCGGAGGCTGTAGGCTTTGCTTTGCGTAGGCGGTCTGGAACGGAGCGGGCGGAGTGGAATGGGGCGGTTACGGAGGATGTGGGATATTTTGGTTTTAGCCACTTTTACACTATGGAGAAATAAATTGGTACAGAGAGTTAGAGTTGGCCAGCACTTTGAACAGGATTGACATAACCACGCCCACTAACTAACACTTCTCAATAATTCATCAGAGACATTTCAGACCAAACTAGGGATACAGAGGCAAGAAGAAATAACACTTTATATAAGGTTTTTCTTCCATTTTCTCAGTAAATACATATGCCTCAGAGTCAAACCATAAGAGAAAGCTTTATCTTTTCTTTAATTAACCTGAAGCAGCCAATCAGGGGAAAGGGTTTCTATAGAAGCCACCCTAATCCCGCCCACTGATTGATCGATAAGGCTGATAGTTTTAATTATTTGTTGATGAGTGCTCTGCCTGGTCACCACTTATGTGAAGCAATTAATTGTATATTTCAATGAAGACATTTTAAAAATGTTGTTTAATGTCCAAATTGTAAAGGCATATTTCATTATTTGATTGTAAATTCTATAAATTGTTTCTAAATGGATTCTTATATCATTTATTAAAGATCGATTCATATGACCAAAGATCAGTTTAAAATAATAATTTTTCATTGTTCCGGCTTTAACTACCATTATTGAATTCATGTTTAAAGTCGTAGGGAAATCATATTAAGATGATATATAAATATAGGACGATATCGTCACAAAATTTTGAAAATGTATATTTTAGAAAGAAATCCTGTTTTAAAATCTGTATATTTCTTTGTCGTTATCCCTAGCAGGCCATTTAGTTATACGTCAGCCTGAACACCTACATTCGGCCAATCATATATCAACGGTCATCTGTCAATCAATTTTTTTCAGTCATAGCATCTTGATTCATATGTCGCAGCTAATTTACGCAATGGTTCAAATCTTGCTAATTGGTTAGCAAGATGCTTCTGAGAAACCGGCCAAAACCAAAATTGTTTGCGAACCTTCCGCCATAACAATCCTGCCCCCTTGATGAACAACCAATCACATTCATTTTATTCACTTGTGTAAATTCATGCACCACTCTGGAGAATTCGGAAATGCAGCGGTTGGAACGGCCGCTTCCCTACGACTTTAACACCAGGAATCCAGTTTTAGATCAGAACTGATTCTTCAATCTTTTAATTCTTATATCTTGAGAATTGGATTTGCCCCTTACAATTTGAATAGATAACCAGCCCTATTCATTGGTACATTTCATTATTTGTTGTAATGTTTGTTATATTTAAGTATTTAATGGTACATTTATTTATTTTTAATGTTGAATTTCTTTATTTTAATGGTGCATTCACATTTATTTGTTTATTTTAGTAGGTTTAAGGTTGAAAAGCCAGACTTTCACAAGTAGGTTGTTGCACAATTGTGGTGAGAGGGGGTTTCTCTGTCCAGCTGTCTTACTGTCTTGTTTTATAAGATTGGTTAAATAATAATCAGATCATGTTTTATGATACTGAAACAAAGAATCAAGATATATTTTTAGTAATATTTTCCTCCAACTGAGCATCCATTAACTCTGCCTAATGGCCACTTTAAAAAAATACGGTTTTATTTGACTTTCTGATGCCTTTATAGTTCTTTATCTCCTCCAACAGCTTCCATTTGCCTTGATCCCAATCCTGACCTTCACCAGTCTGACCTCCATCATGAACGACTTTGCTAATGGGCTGTAAGTAAAGCATGTCACCCTGATTCATTTAATGTTCCCACGGTAACTATTGGATCGGTTCAGCATTACGGGAAGGGAACTGAAAGATGAAAGGCTAATTATAGTGTTTGGATTACAGAAGTGAGATATTTGTGTTTTTCATAGAAGGTATAAAGGTTATATGCTCTATATTCCCTCTTTATGCCAAACCAAAACATTGCTTTATAAATACTGTAAGTTTTTTTTATGACTGTATTTTTCTGTTTTTATTGAAGGGCTTGGAAGATTTCAGGAGGCGTCCTCATTCTTCTGGTTTGCGCCATCAACCTATACTTTGTGGTGGTTTATGTGACTGCGTTGAACAGTGTCCTGCTCTACGTAATCGCTGTCCTGCTCTCTGTGGCGTATCTGTGCTTCGTGATCTACCTGGTGAGTTGTTATAAATAATGTGAAAAGAACCACTGGTGGCAAAATTATTAGTCCTTCAACTACCATACTTTGTAGCATTGGCGGCTGGCCAACAGAGGGCGCTAGGGCACCACCCCACACCCAATGACCCTGATTAAGACATGAAAAAAAAATAAAAAATATATATACCGTAAATTCTCTAATATTGGCCTGTATTCCAATAGCGGCCGGGTCTCTAATAATGGCCGGTCTCGCTGTCAGAGGAGGTAAATAATGGCCGGTCTCTAATACAGGCCGGGGCTATAAACGTTTTTTCTGGGCATACCTCAACATTATACTTGTGGTAGTAAGTAACATACAAGAACCACAGCCCTGCGCTGCTGGACGACAGGCCCTGAGTGCTGCCCGTCTGCGCGAGGAAGAGAACAGACACGCAGCAGAACATGAGGAGCAGCGCGAGTGATGAGGAGAATAAAGGGAGAGATGAAGAGGAGGAGGAAACTGAGGAGGAGAATTAAACAGAATTGGAGGATTTTTTTATTTTTTTTTTTACTTCAAACCAAGCGAGACATGGTAACTGTACTTTTTCAATAAATGAACCTAGTGTTTTATAGGTTCAAATAGACACAAAATCTCATTTTTATTCATTCCACTGGTAGTCTGTTTTGCTCAAATAGCAATAGAGGCCTGTCTCTAATACTGGCCTCTATCCAATAAAGGCCTGGACCGCGATGCACTTGAGTGAAATAAAGGCCCGGGCCTATATTAGAGAATTTACGGTATATATATATATGTGTATATGTTTTTTTTTATACTTTAATTTTGAATTAAAATGTAAAATATTTCGAAATATATCTATATATATTTTTTTGATGTGTAATGACTTGTAAAGCGTCATTCCATTTTTTGGTGGATTGGTGATGTATTTCCGCCCAGGGGCGCAAAAATCTTTGCCCATTGACTCTAGTTAAAGGTTTTACTTTGGGCAATAGCTCCTCTGCAATACAAACGTATAGGATAGCGCACCAGAGCTGCGCCCCGAGCTGACAGGAAGTGTATTTGCTCACCACCTCTTGCCACAGCGCAGACGTTTTGCGGGTGATTGACAGGTCGAGACGCGGGAGCTGGAGACGCATTGGAGAGAGAGAGAAATGGTGCAAGAAACGTCCTTTTTCAGGAGCTGCTTTAGCAAGAAGGCATGGCTAGCAGCATGTAGCTTTATTCTGCTTTCCTGCCTCCTTTTTCAAACGTTAGGTTCTGACCCAGAATGGATAAAGACAGGTAGAACTGATTTAAAGCACTTTTTAGTAAAGGCAAAGAAGAAAGAACAATCTCGGATTCACATGGAGAATAATATAACATAGTTTACTTTTTCTAGATGTTTGTTAATTTGCATAGTTGCTCATAAATAAGCACAGAACCAGGGTTTAGAAAATAGTTTTTATATATTAAAAAGTATAAAGGTGACGAATAGTTTCTCCAATATTAAACTGGTACATTATTTTTTTTTTAGCTTTGTGATACAATATTAGACAATGGAAAACACAGATTTGCCTTCACAAAGCCTCAGAAGGGCTAGATTTATGTAGCCTGGGTGCCATTCCGAACTTAGTCCCGCCCACAAGGTTTGAGGTCGGGAAGTTCGGTCTGGCTCTGCTCCATAGTAGCGCGAGTATTATCGCCCACTGTCAGGCGGGCCAATCAAATTGTCAGGGCGGGCTTTATACGATGATGGACAGATGACCAACAGTAACGTAATCAACCACGTTACCAAAGCGCGCTTGGGTGACAACAATAATGGCTGCCGCTGGAGAGTTTGGGTGAGTAGATTCTGCTATTAGGTCTGTTCTAGAAGATATCGACAGCAAATTAATTTTAAAAGAGGAACAGAGAAACGCGATCAAGGCTCATCTTCTTATTCTAGGCGTGAAACTGCACGCTTTGATTTTTGTGGACCGCATCTATGCCTCGCTTAACATACGTCACGCACTCCGTTGCTCTTATTGGTTGTAGGTCTATCCAATTGAGTGCAGAGGCATTTTTTTTCCTGGTCCGTTCAAAACACGCCCCATAATCACAGCTCTATGGAGCAGTATCAGACTCATATTCTGACTAGAATTGAGTCGGACTACGTCAGGCTAAGATTTATGTACAAAAAGAAAACATGTACATTTAATTTTTATATCTATATATATATATATATATATATATATATATATATATATTGTCATATTGTTTTTTTGTTGGCATTCATATAAATATAAATATACTGGCGTGGTAACTTAGTATATGTTTGTTTGTTTTTTCGTTTTTATTTTGAATTTATAGCCCCCCCCCAGAGAAAACTCCACCAGCCGCCACTGCTTTGTAGTATGATAGTTGGAGTTGACAGAACTTCCTCTTCTCTACATCTAGAGAAGAGAGGGAGCTCTGATCTTTTCTTCCTGCACAGTCTTCCAAATTAGTCTCTGTCTCAGCTCCTTCATCAGATTTTCTCCTCTTCAACTTCAAAGGTTTTCTGTTGGACCCAGGGAGGATTATTTCCCCTTTTTTCTGTTTACCAGTATGGATAGTTTTCCTGTAGAAAAAACTACACAGATGATTTTGGTTTTAGCTTTAAGACAAAAGCTTGTTGATTTAAAACCTTCTGGTGTTTAAGAGATTTTATGATGTTGCTTTCCCAAAATTTATCAGGCCCAAAGTTTCACAAGGGGCTTTTCCACAGATTTGTCAATTTAAGACAATTTACCCTTACAAAGTAAGCTAAACTTTAGCCTTATATGAACAATATATGTATATATATAGAAACTAGAGGGTGTTAGCTTTCAAATAATGTATTGCACATGTTATTTGAGCTTACAGTTCCTAAGTTATTCGCTTTTTCATTTGGGTATTTAAAATAGGCGAGGATTACCCAAAATGAGGTGGATGTTAAGAGGTTAAAGTCGTAGGGAAATCATATTTAAATGTCAAATCATTCTGGCTTAAACATGTATATAAATGTACTCTTTATCAGACTATATTGTAAAAATAGTCTGGCTAAACATAAATTTAGAAAATTTATATCTAAAAAAAAAAAATTCCTGTCTTAAAATCTGTGTTTTTTCCCATTATTTTCTGCAGGCCAGTTAGTTATACGTCAGCCTTTACACCTAAATTCGGCCAATTATATCAAATGTTTCATAGCTTCTCGATTCATATGTTGCAGCTAATTTACACAAAGGCTGAAATAAGAATTATGTCCTTCCCCATTGAGTTCCGTCCCAGTGTTCACGGGGATGGACGTCTGTGTCTTCAGCAGGCGTAGAGCTAACAGAACTGGCAGCGTTGCGAGGCAAGGGCTCAAACATGTACGGCTGGAAGCCTTCTACACCAAACCAAGCTTCTGCCGCTCTGGCGTCCTCTTCCACAACATCTTCGTCCCACTTTCCTCCTCTAAATAAAAAATTAATGACGGAGGAGACTCATCCACGACCTCCGACACTAAACTCTCCTCCTCTTGCATGTTTCCTCTGTCCATAGCGTTCCTTGACAGTGTCGTTTCTAAGTCACCAATTTAGTGCTACTTGGTCCCAATGGAATTTCCCATTGGGAACCTACTAGCACTAAGTTGCTAACTGGTTAGCAAGATGCTTCTGATAAACCAACCACAATCAAACCTGCTTACAAACCTTCCGCCACAACAATCCCGCCCCCTGGATAAGCAACCAATCACATTCACTTTATTCACTCACTTTTTTATGCCAACAGTGTTTGAAAGGGATTTATATTCTATGTGAAAGGCTTGGTTTTTAAATTAAAGGCTGTATTTTCCCATAACTATGAGATTGTACATCTGTAACTAATAATGAATCAACAACATATATTTACCAGGGATGCCCGCTAATGTCTGCTGTGATTAACAAGCAGTTTTTTAGTAATGGGATCCTGACCTCTTTCTTTTCTCTCGCTGTCTACAGGCTTGGCACTGTTTGGTCGCCCTGGGCGTTTCCTGCCTGGACTGTGGCAGCAGGGTAAGCAATCGACCTGCTGTGCTCATAGAGGAGCGCTCTGAGTACGACTCCTAAAGCCCAACAACACATTAACCGCCTGCATGACTCTTACCTCTGAGGGAAAACTGCACACAACCAGGACTTAATTTAGGTTCACGTAGGATTTTGGAGTCAGACTCTCTGCTCTTCCCATGTTGTTTCCATGTTGGGCTGGATGTCAACATCTGATGCTTTTTTAGGACGTATCGCAACTACATCAGCATAATTGAGCCAGACGTTAGTTAGAAGAGATTTATTATTGTGTCATGATCTAAAGCAGCATTTTTACAAGAAAGCAGCGTTTATATAAAATCTGTGAAAATTACCTTGGGTTTAGCTAACATGCAGGTTAATGTCTCTAATTACAACAAAGACTCCAAAACGTGGAGCAGCGTTACACTCCATCCAGATGGAAAATGGGAAAAAGAGACAGAATCTAATGAAATAACTCAAATCAGAATCCGTTTTCTTTGATGAACCATTTCACCAGCTGCTTGAATATTTTAATGCTAGCGCAATATGAAACAGACACCAGCCATTAGCAGCACAACATTCTCACAATATAATAAGCAATATCTTAAAGACAAAAAGATAATGTGCTTTCAAGTAAGTTTAGTTCCTGCAAAACTTCCTGGATTCCTTCTTTTAAATCAAATTAAGTGGAACATTTATTCTGCATATATAAAGGAGTTCATTCCCAGTTTATTTCTCACCCTGACTACCTCACTGTGCTCTGCTGTTTTATCCAAGTGAAACATCACATTGTTTTTTTTTGTTTTGTTTTTTCTTGCATCTGCTATTTTAGAATTGTTACTTGATGATAAACATGGATTGTTTAAATTTTTGCTACAAATGCTATCCAGCCTGTTCTTTGATGTTTTTTTGTTTCTGTTATAAACTGACTCTGCTCCAGCGTGCAAACAATGCTGAAAGACTTCCATCTAATTGATATGCATCAGGATACGACGCTTGTTTTGTTTTGTGTTTCCTCTTTGCACGGTGCGGATTTTATATCATATCAGGCTGAAGCAGAGTTTCATTTTCAGTCAGTATTTACAAAATGGTTTCTTTAAAATATCCTCAGGCACTTTAGGGGGTTCAGTCTCCACTAACTTTACTGCTTATACAGGTTTGTTTGTTTTTTCTGACTGCTGTTGTTTTTTAGTGCCTCAATAATCCATAAGTCAACTGTTGCATGTTAGAGTTTTAACTTTTATAGGAGGGATTTCTCAGGTTAAGGAGTAAATTTCCAAGCACCTTGAGCTCAAGGCCATGTCGATGTTTCTTGATGTGTGTATATTCATGTTGGGTTTTTTTTTGTCCCTATAAAAGGTCTTAACATTGCTATGCTGGTATGATGGAAGTAGGTTTGTATCTGAAAAAAATATATACAGAGAGAGAGAATAATAATAGATAATTTATAAATTTTATTATCACATCTTTTTAGATTAATAAACCAAACATTTAACATTACCTAACAAAACTCCATCCTGTAAAATTTATATAAAAGATTGAGGTTAAACGCACATAATTAATGTGTGTTTATGTGAAACCTTTATAGGAAATGTTGTTTTTCTATCTTGAATTGTCTATTTTAAAGATGTGTGTGTACTTTTTTTGATCTGTTTCACTGTAGATATTTCAAAGCTTTGGATATTAAACAATGAATAACAGAAATAAACATATGGAAAAAAATTGAAATGGAAGGAAAAAAGACAAAGAAATGTAATTTTTCCCATTTATAGTTTGGAAGAATTATTTAAAATGTTGTCCTAGTATAGTTGTGATTGGTTTAAATGAGGAAAGTACCGGTGATGCTGATCTTTTGCAGTATTTTAATGATGTAAAACATTATTGGGTATGGAGAGTAAAAAGGTTAAATCTTTTTCACATTTTGTAATTTCATTTTTGTAATTTAATGGAGTTGAATTGGTTCCAGAAAAATCTGAGTAAAATGCTTTTATTTTTAATAGGATAGTATAACAAAGCATTAAATTGAGCAATATCCAAGTGATGTGGAGATGGTGAGAGATGGGAGCGCAGTGTTAAAGGCCCAGTTAGGGATCTGAGTTACGTTCAGGATTTACCGTCACGCGGAGGGACCTTCCTCTCTGTAATCTTAAGCCGCACTCAGCTTCAGATTTAAACATTTTAAGCTCTTTTCTTCTACGTTAAACAAATGTGTTTCGGGGTTTCTTCACCTCACACAGTTTGGTGTTCCAGAAAAAGGTAGTGATGTACACTGAAGGTGTTGTGTGGCATTTTCCTCATTTCTGCTGTTCTGCCATGCTGGATGAAGCACAACCATGTGTCCCAAATAAAAGCTAACTGTGGATATGTGGACATGTGTTGGAGTCTTCTGTCTTAGTGTCTAAAACTGAATGTTTTCTCCATACAGAAGCTATTCTGCAGTCAGGGACTCAAAGCAATAAACTGGTTTTCCTTAGATAAAAACCTTTTTTAAATTCAATTTAATTCAGTTTATTTATATGATGCCAATTCACAACACATGTCATCTCAAGGCACTTTACAGTTCACCAGATCATACAGTCAAATTGATTCAAAGTTTTCTATCTAAGGAAAACCAGTTGATTGCATCGACTCATTGACTCGAAGGCAATCTCTCACACTAAGCATTGTAGCGACAGTGGAGAGGAAAAACTTCCTTTTAACGGGACGAAACCTCCAGCAGTTTACCAATCTGACTGGATGGAACTCTCTCTGTAAAGAGCCTTGAGATGCCCTTTGTTTTTAATTGGCGTTACATTAATAAACTGAACTGAACTGAGTATCGTAAATGTGCACAACCCCGATGCACACTGGAAAAAAACTAAAATCTCGATAAGTCATTTTTTCTTAAATTAAGTGCATTTGTTCTTGAATTTAGGAGGTAAGTGGGACACTTCGGCAATGGAACAAGACAATTTACATTTAAACAAAGAAAAAACATTTAATTGTCTTATTTCAAGTGCATATTGTCTAATAACCTTTTTTAAGAGTAAAAATGCTCACTCCATTGGCAAATCATCTTATTTACCTGCTCAAATTAAGGGTAAATATACTCAATTAAAGACATTTTTACTTATTTCTAGATCGTTTTTGCAGTGTGAGTTTGGGTTAAAAAAAATCCACCATGTCGAATTACTTTAAAGTTAACTGAAAGATAAAATCCATGGAGCCATTTTTTTTCCCCCCAAGTTAATAGTAACTTGGCTGCATATGTGTGAACAACCTTAAACTAAAAGGCTGAAGATGCACATCGTGTGCAAAATTCAGTTAGTCCCCTTTTCCAGGAATTTATATTCTTGACTCTGCATTTTCTCTGCAGCCCTCTAATGGACCCCCTAGCCTTTCTCTGATAATGCAGGTGATCATTGTAATCCTTCAGGCTACCATTTCTCCATTATTCTCAAGGATCTGGGCTAAAACAAACCAGTATTTTTTTGATTTGCCTTCTTTTAGGGAAAGAAAAGTGATCCCACATTATGATGCTGACACCAGGATCCCAATGATTATCTGTTACCGCTCTGCAAACCAAGGATTTATTCTGCTGAGGTTCATTTATGGTTTCAGTTTTAGTGAAACTTGAATTAGAGATGTACCAAATAAGATTGAATGTTAAAATTAAACAATTTGATCAGATTTAGTTTGTTATTAGTTAAAGCTTTATCTCATTTTAGAAACCAAGGCATCGTTTTTGTTATTCTTGTTGACGGATATTGTTTTTATTTTAAGGAGATCATTTATATGTTCCATCAAATATTAATATTAAATCTACTATAGCTGCCTTAATTGAATGAACTAGGGATTTGTGTGTGTTTGTTTGATAAAAAAAAAAAAAATTACGATATTGATGACAAAAAATCATCCTCTGATCATTTAGATTACTTTTTCTAAGAACATATTTCATACAAGCAAAGTCCCAGACATGACTGGAACTGAGAAAAGGCAGTGCTATACGGGAACCGCCTCGTGGCGGGGCCCCTGGCAGCCGAAAGAAAGCGGCAACTGCAGCTTTTTGTGGCATGCGTGGCCTCGGTAAATCATTCCCGGATGAACGGTTTGTACTGAAATCTCGATTACAACGCAAATTGTAGTTGTTATTTAAAGAAATTTATTGAAAAATATCCTTGAGGAGGCGCTGAATTATAACTGAAGTGGAGGACTTAAACACTGAGCCTTGTGGAATTTGCATTTGTTTTATTTACATGGAAGGTTCTGTCTTTAAGATTCAGTGCAGCTCCAGTCTGTCAGATTCTGTCCACTCAAATGTTGTTGCCACACTATCAGCAGAAAATCATACTTTAAACCTGAATCTTCAAGGGGTATGAATATTTCTGCAGCTCTAGCAAAGGTTTATCATTTTTTTTAGGGTTTAGAAACACCACCACATGAGATTTTGAACACGAGTCGAAGCAGCAGGGATCCAACAAACTTCCTGCACTCCAATGATTTGACCTGAGGTGAAGCCTTAGTATGCCAACACCTTTTAATGTGAATGTATTGAAGAAGCCCGAATGGTACGGAAGAGGATAAGGGCCACTAAAAAAAAAGATGACTGATTTTTGAATTTTATTTCAATTTAATATGGGAAAAAGGGTCAGATTTTAAAGTTACATTTTTTGTCAAGGTAAGATAATCTGCTCTTCAAAAACCAAATTTAAAAGACATGATTTACCGATGATTAACATCCACATACTATTAAAATCAAGCACTGTGACGTTCTCTACAGATGTTTCCGGGTCCTTAGATGATCAAATCAAACAATTTTATGTGCAACAGAAACAGTAAATATTATTATAAATATGCTGTGATTCTAGCATTTATCAGCATACCTGTTAATATTTATCTGATTAAACCTTTCTGTTTGATCAAGAATTTTGTAACCTAAACATAAATGCCACCTAAATAACACTGCATTTTTTAACATTGCAGAGGCTAAATGTATTTATTTAATTACATTTTAAATGAATCAATTAAAAATCTGAAAAAAGATGATTAAAAGCTGATTTATTTTTAATTTCTCATGGATGATACATTTATTTTGCTTGTATTAAAAAAAAATAATAAACTAACCATAGTTTGTTTTTCCTTCCTCCAGATGCTGCACCACACAGACATGTACTTACTGACCGACATGGAGGCTGAACCGCAGGCTGAGAGATAGTAGGACGCCCGGTGCAGTCTGACTGCAGACTAGAGGGACCGCTGAAGCTTGGCCAGTATTACCTTCTCTTCAGCCCTCAGTGTCTGACTCCTGCTAAAGTGTCCTTAATGCACCAACAGAATTTGATGGAATCGAAAAAAAAAACGCCCAAATGCTTTATCATTTTTCCTGGACAGCAGTGTGTACTAAATGATCTGCGGGTGTAGCAGAGGGAGAAAAATGCCCTGAAAGCCTGAAATAAAAGAGAAGGAAAACATGGTTGACAACAGCACTCTACAGCTGAGAACAGATGATTTCCAGTAGATAATCAGAGCTATAAATGAGCCAGTGGTGCCTGGATGTGGGTATCCATCAAACCCACTAAGCTGCTGCACACTGCTCTTCATATGTAGCTATATTTTATTTTTCAACATAAATAATATATATTTATAACCCTATAATCCATCCATCCATACTGTTAGTCACAGTATGTTTGGAGTTGTTTGCTGGGGACCAAATAGTTTGTTATTGTGCTAAATAAGCCTGATAAATTATTATTTAGGTATTTTTCCTGACTCACAGTCGCTGATAAATATAAGCAGACCCTCTTGATAGCACTTAGTTTAGGTCAAACCTTTAGAATTTTTTATGCAAAGGTGCACAAAATAAGTGTTTAATATTTTGGAGGCACTCATGGGCAGCTGGTGATAATGCACTTAGCTTGGGAAACAAGCGTGCTATGCCATACTGAGAAATCAGCCTTAATCTTTATGTCCAAAAATGTCAGATTTCTTCGTTTCCGTTCAGCAGAACACTTCTGATCATATGTGATGCAACGTCTGCCATGCAACACAAACTTAGAATGCACTGGAAATACTAATTGAGGATGCGTAGGTGTCGGGGTTCAAAGACGTGTTTAGAAGTAAAGATGCCTTTTAAAATAAACTCACAGATGAGAATGAAAGGAATCCCTGATTTAACCAGAGATGCATCAATCAGACAATTCCTGGGAGATTTGTATGGAGAGAGTTTTGTTCCATTATTGTTGCATGCAAAACAACAAATCATTTTGTAAATGGAAATAAAAAAAAATGAAATTTGAAAAAAATGTAATTAAGAAATTAAACTGAAAGTCTTTATTATTTAAAAAAAAGGGGGGGCTCTGGAGTAAACTTGCTGGTTTATAAGTTTGTTTTTTCTTTCAGTTCATTTTTTCAGAATAATTTTTTATTTTAGCATATTATAAAATTTGTTTTACAAACTTTATATTTAAATATTTTCCTTTTTTAAATAAATTTTAGTCTTTTGGATTGAGTTTTATGAATTGCATTCTTTTCAAATTATGCTTTCGGCATTCTCTTCACCTATGGGGGCGGGCTTTCCTCTGAACTAAGGAGTGAAGAGGCGTTTCTATGGAGTTGCTTGAACATTAGCAACATTTTTATTGGCCAATGTGCGCTTCAAGAGCGAGCCTTTGTATCGGGCCTTAAGTGAAAACAATACGATCAGTGAATAACAATATGAGAAGAATGTAATCAGTAAAACTCAATCTGAAAAACAGGAATTTGGAGGGAAAAAAAATGGAAATATTAAATCTGAAGAAAATTCTAAATTTGAAGAATTAAAATTTGAAAATATTAAATCTGGGAAAATGTTTTTCATAAAAGACAGAAAATACATTTGAATATAGATAATTTGAAATGACATGAAACCACAACAACGAAGCACAAACTTAATCTGAAAAATAGATTTTGATCAATTTTCAGTTTTTTTTCTCCATTTATAAGACATGTTCTTTGCTTGCATCAACAATAAAATGAAATTTTCTTTTACATCCAAATTTATATTATATATTTATAATATAATATAATCTACAGTTATATTCAATATATTCATACATACTTTGTAAAGTGATTTATTCAAGTGACTCAATTCAATATGATTTATTTAGATTAATGAGACAGATGGATGTTTTTTAGCCTTAATTGGGATGTTTTTCTAAAAAAAGATTTCAGATTTGGATATTATATAAGACCCATTAACAAATCTAAGCTTAAGGAAAAGTCTATTAAATGCTTAAAGGTTGACATTTTTTAAAAGTAAATGTAAATGTTTCACAAAAAAAAAAAACAGGATTATATAATTTGTTAAATATGACTATATAGAGTAGGTGTGGATCCTAAAAGAAATAAAGAAACTGGAAGATTTTCCCTCAGAAAGCTTGTGAAAGGTTTTTTAACTAAAGAAAAGGGCATCAGATAAGCTTGTTGGTGCATTTGTGGACAAAAAATGGTGGGAATTCTTAGTTTTGCTGCATCAGATTAATGGGGGGTAATTTTACCTGCTGATCACAAATAAACTACAACTTCTAGTGGATCAGTGCATCTCTGGTTAAAGTACATCTACGTTAATATCGGCATGGTTCAAAGCAAGGTTTGAGATTTTGCTTCTAAAAATGGTTGACGAATTATTTGTTTTTGAATAAAGCCGCTTTAAAAGTTTTTGCTCAGGTTGAGCTAAATAAACAACATTTCTATTCCTGCTAAGAACCAAATATTTTTTTTTATTTTAAAGCTAATTAATTAAAAAATAAATTATTTTGTTCCTTTGTACTTTTTAAAACAAATTTAAAGTTAAAATGTCAAATTTAAAGGTTTGTTAGATATTGTAAACTGAACTATTTTGTTTTTATTTATGTTGTGTCACTTTCTGTATGTTGGTGTAAAATATTTAAAGGGCCCATTTAAATGGAGGCAGCAGATATTTCCTTTATTTAAAAAAAATGTGAAATATTTTATAAATTTTTTTTCCCATTACTTTCTGTTTCCTGATGTGTTGAGAATCAGCATTTTCATTTACGGCTGCCAGTGTAGACAGGATACAGTAACTGTACTGCAGGAGGATTGAGGCTCTTAAAGCGCTCAATCTGAGGTTAGCGGCTGCACATGTTTGTGTACAAGAGCCAAACTCAGCTTCAGGCACGCAGCATCAGGTGAGAGAAAATAATGCTGAGATGAAATTAGCTTCTTTAGGTGTTTCATAGCTTTCATCATAATCTGTAATCACTAACTAAAACCAACATAAATGATAAATCTGCTGCAGGGAGTAACTTAAACATATTTAACCATCTGTTCATGTAACTTTCATTTAATCTCAACGTTACCGTTTTAATCTTTTTATCTGGGCTCAATTCTTCTCCATTTCTTTTTCTCATTCTTTGCTTTTGCCGTTTCCTGTGTTTTCGTTTTAGATCATCTCAAAAGAGATGCAACAACTGGTTTAGATTTCTCCAAACGCTCGGTCTGTTACGGGGAAATGTAACATTTCATCTAGAAACAAATGTAAAGTGGAAAACCTGGCAGCTAAAATGAGCTGCTGTGGCATTAATGGAACAATGTTAGACGTTGACTGGTACATGGACAGTAAGCACATCCCCAGAGTTATTTTCTTATTTGATTTCTTTTTTTTCTTACTATAAAAATTGTAGAGAAGTGTTTTGCTGTCACTAAAGTAGATCTATTTTTGAAAACTATCATGTTATATCGCATAAACCTATTTGCTGCATATCTACTCAGGAAGTACAGTGGCTGATTTCCCTTGGTCTCATCTCCATGTATCATTAATTATGCAAACATTTGTTCAATTTTTAATTTTAACACATTGTCTTAAATAAACGTATTTGTTCATTAATATTCATTCAAAGCGGGGTTCCCATAGTAGGGGCTGAGATCCCTCAGTGGTCAGGAGACACAGATTGGTGGGGTCGCTAATTGGTTTTCACAATCAATGTGATATGAACCCTGGGTTATATGGGAGGCCAAATTGATCATAAAATAAATAAATGCTCATTTTTACCATGAAATGAGTAAATGTAGCATTTATGTATTTATCTAGAAAATGTCCCAAATTTGAGCTGAAATTATTCATTATGATTTATCATTATAACTATTATTTATTTATATTAGTATTTGATTAATAATCTAATAATTAGTAATGGTAGACTGACTAAACATACAGATGTGAGCTGTAAACATCAAGTATTAACAGCTTTCCTATTAAGATTATCTTATAGATAGATAGATAGATAGATAGATAGATAGATAGATAGATAGATAGATAGATAGATAGATAGATAGATAGATAGATAGATAGAAAGAAATAATTGTATGCATGTATGATACATGCATATAAAATTCCTTTAAAATGATCTTTAAAGGTTTTTTGTAATACATTTATACAAAAAAGTAAATATATATACTTTTTTTCAAATGTTATAATTTCGAAATGTTAGTTGTCTGTTATTTTGAAATAATCAATTACTCAAAAATAATAATAACTGCTAGATGAATCTGTTACTGAAATAATCAATAAGGTGCAGCCCTACTCAAATATGACATAAGCAATGAGTGAAATGATCAATTAATCAAAAGTCCAATTACATGGATAAAAACTAAATGTAATTATTTAATTGTAGTTATTTTAAAATGAATATGTCTAAATAAATATAGACTTAGGTTAATATGTATTTTAGTAAAGTTGCTGAAATGTTTGGGAACCTCTGGCATGGAGGGATACGGATGCTGCTGCGCTCTGTGGATGAGAACATTACCACCTTCCACTGAGAAGCATCCTTAACGGAATGGGACGGCAGAGTGGGAAAGAAATCAACCAGATCCTCTAGATGTGGCGGCCTTCCTGGTTGAGCAGATGTAGAGTTATTGGAGCCTCCATGGATGCTTTGTTACAGAAAATACCCCATAGTTTGAAGCACTGGCGATTTCAAGCTTTTAGCCACCCTGATAATCAATTTTCTCCCACTCCTCTTAAAGGAGTCCTGCTAAAAGCCCGCAACCGCCACCATCTGGATAAAGTTATCAAGTCTGTAAATGTATCATGTTATAACATGATGGTGCTCAACATTTATTTTCTTTATTACAGCAAAACATTTCTGTAAAGTTGCATTTAGACAAAATAACATCAATCAGGAGACACTCTGGCTCACTCTGACAATAAAACCTGAAACCCTGAACAGACATCAAACCGAACTTGAACCGTAGTTGTTTTTCCACAGTGCCTTATCTTTTCACCAGCGAACCTCTTCTAGTAAATGTTTGACACACTTTTATTTTAATGTTTATATTTAAAAACAAGAGAAAGATGAAGAGGATATTTAAAAGCAGGAGCTTTTAAAATAGTATTTCATGACATTCTAAAAATTGGGAGCATTTGGATAAATAACGTGTTGCTTAAGGATTTTAGATTTACTCATTTTAATTTTGGTGTACTTTGTCCGTAGCCATATTCTTTTCTGATCTTAACTCATTAAACTACTGAGGTCTTATATGCTGATTTATTTTTAAAAGGATTAAACCGAGCAGGAAGGTCCTCCACTCAGAACAACCATCTGTATTTAAATGTTTTAATATGATTTTTCTTCTGTCAAACCAAAAGAGCTGTGCTTCCTTTTAAAGCTCTACGGTAAAACAATAAATGTTATTATTTATTTTTGGTGTCATGTTTTTTCATTAAATTACACTACAAATGGATAAAACATGTGAATTGATGTCCTTAATGTATTGTGTGATGTTTCTGCATAAACTGGATTTCAGTCTAAAGAATCTTCACAGAGCTCAGAAATGTAGAGGTGGGATGGATGGACTATTGTAGACAGCAGCTGTTTACTAAAAAAAAACAAGCAGCATGTTGTTTTAAATCATTTTACAAGTGGTAAACAAAAATAATTCAATATACAATTTTTCATAACTTATAATATATGACATCTGTTTGTTCAAGAAAGTTCAAGTTTAGGTCTGAATTTTATAAACTTCACCGTCAAAAGTCCTAAACAGACATGAAAGCTTTAAAACCTCTGATTATAATTAATATATATGTTGTGTTTTTTTTTAGTTAATAAAGTTAAATAGACTTCATTTGTATTTTGATTTCATTTGTATACCCATCAATGGTCTACATTTGACCAATGTCCTAATTGGACCGTCTGAAGCTAAATCCACACAATAAAACTTCATGGCCAGGTTTCAGTCTGGCTTTAGGTACATTTGAG